AATGAATAGATGAATGGGTACATGCACAAAGAATCGAAATAATACAAGTCATCCTTTTCCAGACTAATCCAACTCTCGTTCTTCCAGGCCGCCCGTGTCGAGTCTACAGCAAACGTCTGAACCTGAGTTCTCCATGCTCTCAAACACTCACGAGTGAAGATTATATAACATTTAAGAGTATTGATAAGGATGTCGTCACCAGGACAAGTTACTTTGCCTTGAACTGCAGTGGCATCCCAGACGGTCAGTTCCCGCTGCTGTTAAGCAATTTTCTCCCTCATTCCAATCTCCTTCGTTCAGCTCTTAAGTTTCGGATCAAATATTTCGCTAGGGATGGGAGTCTGATGTTATGTGTCCGTGTCCCTTTTCTTTCGCAGACAGAAGTGCCTTTGCAGCCGGGGAATATCCTATTTCAGTTGAGCGCCGTCTCCTTTCTCACAGAAAGATGAGCCCCTACCTTCTTTCCGGTCAAATAACTGGCCTTACATTCAGACAAATGCCTTTTTTCTTTCCCTCTTTTTTGGACAGAACTTACAGTCTGGGAAGGCCTCATCTTCAACTGGGTCCCTTGTCTTTCCTTTATCGGACAGGAAACTGCCCTTATCGTTGGAGAATCTCTTGCCAGCGAAGCCTCTGCCCTCCTGAAGGCCAATGCACGTCCCTGCTCGTTTGATCTTCGTCTGTTAGTCCTTTCAGCCGAGGAAAAAGGAGACGAATGATAATCAATCGAATGAGAATAGAAATATAATGATAACTGTTACGTCAAAGATTGGTATCACTGATAATATATCATTATTAATATTTCTATTACTATCATGTAATCATCATTGTCAATATCATCATCCTCCATTATTACTAAATTATGTCTAGAATGATTGACATGATTTTTACTATTATTGTCAACACAATTATTTGCATGGTAGTTATGATTATGGTAATTATTCATGGTTATTATCCTACTTTTCCCCCCTTTAAAATTATCATAAATAATTCCACACTTTAAATATATTGTCGTTATTATTGTCCTAATCCCAGGTATACTTTACCTCTTGTTTCCCTCTCGCCATGCTTCAGAAACCGTCGCCGGGACTCCAACGGAGGACTCTTGGCCTGTGTCTGCGATCGTCGGCACCGCCGTCCTGGTCGTCATCGTCGTTGGTGTAGTTGTCTTCGCCGTCGTCTTGGTCGTAAAGCTGAGAAAGTCCAGGTCGTCGAGAGAGACCGCGATTCCAGCCGACGACCTGCACAACGGAGAGACGACCAGCCTGCGCAGCCACGACTCCGAGAACTCCCTTTACGGTGTAATCCTTTCCGATGTATCGCAGAAGGAGCAATAGGAGTTGGAAAGGAAAAGTGCTCGCTAGTAAGGATCAATTTGAAATCCTGCCAACTTTCATGTATGGCGCACCGTCTGCATTTACCTTGTATAGGATAGGAATACTGTTGCCTTGGCACATGTTCAATATTGCATTCTAAATATTTTGCCAAGGTCGAAACCGAATGTATCAAGGTATCAGATATGAAACAAAACTCTGCAAAGAGGGAGCGATAGAGCTAAGACTAATGTGTGACGTTTCGAATCAGAACTGACTCATCATCAGTCAACTTCGGTTTATCGTCAGGCAGGAAATCCAACATGGCCTAAATCCCAGGTATACTTTACCTCTTGTTTCCCTCTCGCCATGCTTCAGAAACCGTCGCCGGGACTCCAACGGAGGACTCTTGGCCTGTGTCTGCGATCGTCGGCACCGCCGTCCTGGTCGTCATCGTCGTTGGTGTAGTTGTCTTCGCCGTCGTCTTGGTCGTAAAGCTGAGAAAGTCCAGGTCGTCGAGAAAGACCGCGATTCCTGCCGACGACCTGCACGAACCCCCGCCGCGATGCCGATCGAAAGGACGAGCACGGCTATTGCTACATCGACTAAGAGCGAAAAGGCTAATGTGTCTTTTTACTATCTGTTCCGTTTCATCAGTATAGCATGTCAGTATTTGTTTCATGCCTTTATGTTTTTGTAACTGCTATTATCATTTGACTCAGTTCTATCATGTTGCTAACACTAATATTACAATTAATTGTAGTACTTCTCAACATTATATTGTAATAACAATGCCATTTTAACATCACCATCATTGATTGTAAACATTAATGATATTTTTCATTGCTGATTGCCATCAGAATTACATTAAAACTCTATTCCATGATGATAGCCATTTCCATAGTATAAGCAAGGACGGACGTTGTAAGCAAGTAAAGTATGTTAAAATGCATTCTAAGACAAAATGTTAAAGGTTAAGAAACACGTCTCTGCTCTCACTTTTAATAAAACTTTCCATAGTCATTGACCCTATTCTTTCCACTGGAAACGAAAAAAAAAAAAAAAATGTAGATAAGGAAGGATGCAAGTAAGAATGGAACAAAAAATGTTTCATAATGAGATGTGACCATCAAAGCACGAACCCTTATCGCTTCCTGATATATGCTCAGCATCCTGTCTCTCTCTCT